ATTGACTAAGAGGGCTGGCACGAATCCAATACACAAAACAAGGAATGATGAGGAGGCGTGACTACAGATACAAGGGAAACCAGTAAAAGTATAAAAGACCTCTCTGTTCAATTTGATTCCATTACATTTTTTAAAGGTTATTTATTTATTTGAAAGGCAGAGCTACAGAGAGGCAGAGGCAGAGAGAGAGAGAGAGAGAAAGGGGGAGGGGAGAGGTCTCCATCCACTGGGTCACTCCCTAGATGGCTGCAACGGCCGGAGCTGAACGAATCCGAAGCCAGGAGCCAGGAGCCAGGAGCCAGGAGCTTCTTCCATTTGAATGCAGAGGACCATGGACTTGGGCCATCTTCTACTGCCTTCCCAGCCCACAGCAGAGAGCTGGATCAGAAGTGAAGCAACCAGGACTCGAACCGGCGCCCATGTGGCATGATGGAACTGTGGGCGGCGGATTTACCCACTATGCCACAGCGAAAGCCCCGCCATTACATTTTAAAAAAAAAGATTGATTTATTTATTTGAAAGGCAGCTGTAAAAAGAGGGAGAGACACAGAGAGATATCTTCCATCCACTGGTTCACTCCCCAAATGGTCACAATGGTCAGAGCTGGGCCAGGCCGAAGCCAGGAGCCAGGAACTTCATCCAGATCTTTCATGTGGGTGGCAGGGGCCCAAGCAGCTGGATCAGAAGTGGAGCAGCCGGGGCTGGAACTGGCACTCACATGGGATGCTGGCATCATGGGCAGCAGCTTAACCTACTGTGCCACAACACTGGCTCCTTCATTACATTTTTACAGGGAAATATGATTTTTAGGGGCTGGCACTGTGCCACAGTGGGTTAAGCTGACACTTGAGATGCCAGCATTCCATATGAGTGGCAGTTCAAGTCCCGGCTACTCCACTCCCAATCCAGCTCATTGTTAACATGTCTAGGAAAGCAGAAGATGGCCCAAGTACTTGAGCCCCTGTACCCAGATGGAGGATCCATATGGAGTTTCAGGCTCCTGGCTTGGGCCTGGCCCAGCTCAGCCATTGGGGCATTTGGGAAGTGAACCAATGGATTTGAAGATCTCCCCCCCTCACCCCGTAATTCTGCCTTTTAAATAAATAGATCAATCTTTTTAAAAAAATATGACTTTTGGGGCCGGCGCTGTTGCTCACTTGGTTAATCCTCCGCCTGCAGTGCCGGCATCCCATATGGGCGCTGGGTTCTAGTCCTGGTTGCTCCTCTTCCAGTCTAGCTCTCTGCTGTGGCCCAGGAGGGCAGCGGAGGATGTCCCAAGTGCTTGGGCCCTGCACCCGCATGGGAGACCAGGAGGAAGCACCTGGCTCCTAGCTTCAGATCGGTGTAGCTCCAGCCATGGCAGCCGTGGCGGCCAATGGAAGGAAGACCTTTCTCTCTGTCTGTCTCTCTGTCTATAATTCTACCTGTCAAATAAATTAAAAAAAAAATGATGTTTAAAGACAATATAAATTACCAAACTTGATCTTATAAAAGACAAACAATGAAGACAGGTCAATAGGGCAGGTGTTTAGCCTGGTGGTTAAGACACCTTTGTAGCACACAGGAGAGAATCTGGTTCAATTCCTGACTACGGCTCCTGTCGCCAGCTTCCTGCTGACACAGATCCTGGGAGGCAGTGGTGATGGCTCAAGTGATTGGGCTCCTGCCACCCATGTGGGAGACCTGGACTGCATCTCCAGCTCCTGGCTTTGGGCCTGGCCTGGTCCCTAGGCATGCGAGGAGTGAACCAGTGGAGAGCAGCTTGCTCGCTCTCTCTGCCTCTCAGATAGATAACTATTTCATATTAAAAAAAAATACAGCAGCCCCAATAATGCCCTATCATTTCTCACTAATTCCTGTAAGGATCCAGAAGAAGTGAAAACACTCCCCACACAGTCAGGTGGCCGAGGACCTACCTCCTGAAGCTGATTTTACGGCCCGTGGAGGGTCTCAAACACATCATCAGTGGAATGCACACACCCTGGAAAGACATCCCTGCTCCCTGCTGCACCGCCCCACGTCAGGAAAGGCAGGATCTCTCTCAGGGAAGGCCGGCAGCCTCCCCTCCGCTGCGTGGGTGACGGTGTTCGAGCAGCGTTCTTTCCTAGCCAGAGACTGTAGCTTCGCACCAGGAAGCACAGCAGAGGACACAACATGCTAGCTTCTGGAAGCACTGTGCCGTCCGACAGCTTGGAGGAACAGCCCGGCAGCTGTGTGAGCTAGGCCGCGGGGCTGGGGGCGGGCACAGGAGGAACCCTGCTTGGGCTAGCAGAGCCGTATTACACTAACGTCTGTGGCACTGACAACTGTGGGTGTAGGAAGAGGATTCCACCAGCTGCCAAGTGGACGTAAAGCGAGTTCAGGTAGAAGGCCACGGTTTCTTATCTACCCTGTGGTGCTTCTGAGAGCGAAAGGGGTTCCGTCCCTGGTAACAACAGGTGACAACTGTAAACAGGGCTGTCCCAAGCAGACTGAGAGGTACAATCACCCTGGTTCAGGCTCTAAATCTTAGATAGGGAAAAAAAAACCAAAAACCTCTCATATTCTCAGATCTGAAAATCAGTAAAAAAAGACCAAGGGAGAGGACTGGAAAATACAGGAGAACAGACGCCTGAGACTAACTCACTATGGCAGATGGAAAACAGATCCAACTTGCAAATTACAAGCACTCTTGAGAAGGAAAATAGGACTGAATGAAAGCAATATAGAAAGCAGTAGAAGGAAGGTGTTTCAGGATGAAACAGAATTTAGTATTCCAGGCAAGTAAGTTATTCTGAGTTCCAGGAAAAATAAATATAAAGAAACCAACACTTGGAAACATTCTGACAATTGGAAGGGAAAACTCCTGTCACTTGCATATGATATAACTGCTGACCCGGAAAAACCAATATTGAAAAATATGGACCAAGAAAGGTGCTGTTTTTTGATACAGATAAAGCAACATGAGCCAGTATCATTTCATTGCAGTAATGCTATATAGAAAACTTAATCATAAATTCACACTAGCCAACAAAAACACCAAAGTATCCAAATTGACTATGAATTCATAAGGCCTCTCTCAATCTAAAGGTCAAAGACGATGATCCAAACAAACCTATTTTATATTCCTTATAAGATGAATTAACATTGTAAAAATTTTAATCCTTTCAAATGAATCTAGAAATTCAATGCAACTCCAATAAAGATTACTGTTGAATTTAATGGACTTATTACACATATTAAATTTTGTATTGTAGAATAAGGGTCTATAAATAGGTTAATTCATCTTATTAAAGAAAAGTAGAGAAGATGGAGTTTTCCTAACATATTCAAAGACACATTACAATAAAAATGGGGTGGCGTTAGTGCAAAACCAGGCAAATGGAAAAATGGAACAGAATTCTCAGACAGAATTTATTATCCATATATGAACTTAATAGATGAAAAGCAGCACCACAAATCAATGGAAAAAAGAAAGATGGTTTAATAGTTGTTACTGAGAATACTGGCCTACCATATGAAGGCAAATAAAACTGGAGTCCTATCTCAAACCCTAAATGGTTGGGGGGAGCATTCGGCAGTCAAGATGCTACTTAGGACACCTGCATCCCATATTAGAGAGCCCAGGTGCGAGTCCTGGCTCTGCTTGCTTCCAGCTTCCTGCTAACGAGCATCCTGGGAGGCAGCAGGGAATGGCTCAAGTACTTGAGTCCCTGCTACCCGTGTGGGAGAGACCCAGGTTGGGGTGGGCTCCTGGCTTTAGCCTGGCCCAGCCTCATCTATTGTGGGCATTTGGGAGAGAACCAGCAAATAGAAGATTAGTCTCTCTCTGACTCTGTCTCTCTGCCTTTCAAATAACTAAAAATTAAAAGAAGCCCCACATCGGTAGATTCTAAGAGGAATAAGGACCTAAATGTGAAAGGTAGAATAATGTTTACAGAAGAAAATACAATAATATCATTGTGATAGAGAGATGAGGGAGGTCTTCTTAAAATTCCACGGCATAAAGTATAAGCAGTGAACTGAAGAATTTCAATATGTCAAAATGAAGGATTCTGTTTAACAAAATATATCATGGATAAAGCTCCTCTGAATGTTTACAGAATAGGAAAATGAATTTACAATGCCTAAAGTGAATGTAAGGTTAACATCTTAAAAGTCCTGCTAATCAACAGGAAAATATCAAAATGAAATAAAAAATCAAATCAAAAATGACAAAGGATATGAATAAGCAGCTTAAAGAAAAACCCAAAAGAGCACACCAGCATGTAATGCCACACTCACGTTCAACAGTCATGAGGGAAACACGCAGCAGAATGACAACGAGGTCTGACTGTGGCCGTGTCACACGGCAGGAGGGTGGGCACCCGGTGACCTTCATAGACAGCCGCTGCTGGGGCCACGTGGCACCTGCAGCAATCGGGCACACGCACACCCAGGGCCCAGCTACTTTCCTCCTAGGACAGCTCACTGAGGTAGGCGACTTATTACTCTGCATGAAAATGGCTCGTGTAGAAGGTTTGGGAAAGGGTATGGGGAACATAAAAATGAGTGAGTGAGTGAAATGAGACCAGGGCCTTGCCCAGGTCAGAGGTGACAGGTGTCACAATTAACAATGAGCATTACGGTGACAGCACTCTACCTGACATCAACCAGTGGTGGTGCTGTACTGATGGGTGAGGGGAGCAGCTGCCAACACGTTGGCAAAATGTTTGTAGGACAAGATAAAGAGGACCTTCAACAGTTATGCTCAGGGGAAAACCCATTAACTATAAAAGGCAAAAAAACAACAGGCTGATTCACATGGGCTCTCTGGTTTTAACAACAGAAGACAAAATGCCTTCAAAATTTTGTGGATAAACTGATTTTGAACTTGAATAGATAAAAAGCATTCCAAGTGTGCAGGCATCACATTCCAAGGTTTGCACGGACACCTGCACACAAAGTGCCACCCACAGCGTCTCGAATGAAGGAGAACAGCAAAGCCTCAAGAGCTTGTCCTCACGGGGAACACCACTCACCTTCTGCAGGAAGAGGACGATGCGCACGAGCATCTGGGCGCGGAGCTCCTCCAGGGTGAACAGTGTGCGGGGCGTGCGGATGAACAGCTTGGTCTTCCCATAAGCCACGTCATCCTGAAAACCACACCGCTCAACGAGCTTCTTGGCGGCCTCCTTGTCTGACGGAAGGTCATGGTTAGGCCAGGTGAACTCAGAGATCATCTTATACCTGGACGGACAGAGCAGGCACAGATGAGCGGAGAGAAAGCTTCGGGTAATGTCAGCAGTAAAACTAGCCAACGAAATTCTACATGGTTCAGAGAAAACAAAACCAAACCTCAGCAGACTGGTACTAGAAACAATTTCACTAGCCTTCAAGAAACGAAACACTCCTTCAGGGCAACAGTTCTTACAAAATTATGCATAGAAGGGATTGCTTTAAATTGCTTTAAGATTTATTTATTTGAAAGGCACAGTGACAGAGAAAAGGGAGAGAGAGAGAGAGGGAGGGAGGGAGGGAGGGTCTCCCACCTGATGGTTCACTCCCCAAATGACTTCAACAACCAGGACTGGGTCAGGCTGAAGTCAGGAGCCAGAAACTCCACCTGGGTCTCCTCATGTGGATAGCAGGGCCCCAAGCACTTGGGCCATCTTCCACTGTTTTTTCAGATGCATCAGTAGGGAGCTGACTGGAAGAGGAGCAACCAGGACTCGAACTGGTGCTCCGATATAGACTGCTGGCATCACAAGCAGCAGCTTAACTGGCTGTGCCATAATGCTAGCCCTGGGGCTTCTTTAATTTAATAAAAGTTATTTACCAAAAAATTTCAGCAAATATCCTCAGTAAATGGGCAACCCTGGACACATTCTCTTTTCAAGCAGACACAAGACAAGCATGCCTCCATTGTGGGTTCTACTCAACACTGTTCGGCTTGTTTAATTAGCACAGTGAGATTCATATATAAGCTGGTGAATGGGGAAGGAACAGAACTGCCACTGCTTATGGACAGCATGGGCTTCTTCAAAGGAAGCCAAGCAGATCTCTGCTTACCTCTTACAACTGAACAAGTATGAAGTGGTGCTGCTGCGTGTAAAATCGACATACAAGAATTAGTGGCATTTGTACACACAAGCAGTCAGCAGCTCCTGGCCACGTGGGCCTCTCCCAAGACAGCTGGCTCCACCTACATGAGCATGAGCCATGCGGGTGAGTGTGAGCCATGCAGGTGTCATCTCTAAGGTGATGTTCCGTCATTTTTGCCATATTCCATTTGGTTAGAAGCCAATCACCAGGTGCAGCCTACACTCAAAGGCAGGGAATTACAAAGTAGACTGTTTTGTTTATTTATATGGGGGGGGGAGGGAGTAGAGAGGTGGAGAGAGAGCAAGAGCGAGAGCGAGTACGTGCACCCTCCTCTGCTGATTTACTCTGAATGCCAGAAATGGTTAGGAACAGGAGAGACTCCCACAAGGACCGTAGGACCCAATTACTCAAGCCACCGCCACTGCCTCCCAGGGTCTGCACTGGCAGGAAGCTGGTCAGGAGCTGGAACTGGGAGTCAACTCATCCACTGTGGTACAGGCCAGCCCCAAAGGCAGGGGCTTACAAAGGGCGGGACTGCCAAGGGGCAGGGGTCACGGAGCAACGGAGAAGGCTGCGTGCCACAGCACTCTTCCTCTCCACCGAACAGGGCTGCTCAACGCACCGTTGTTTTGTGATTTTTTCATTTTAATTTTTATTTGAGAGGGAAAGTCACAGACAGAGAGAGGGAGAATCAGACAGAGATGTCTTCCTTCTGCTGGTTCACTCCCCAAATGGCTGCAGTGATTGGAGCTGGGCCGATCTGAAGCCAGGAGCTTCTTCAGGGTCTCCCACATGGGTGCAGAGGCCCAAGGACTTGGGCCATCTGCTACTGCTTTCCCAGGCCATAGCAGAGAGCTGGATCGGAAGTGGAGCAGCCAGGACTAGAATCAGTGCCCAGATGGGATGCTGGCACTGCAGGAGGCGGCTTTACCAACTACACCACAGCACCAGCCCCTGAAGACATCTTAAACTTCTCTTTCAGGGTCCAGCATCGGAGCACAATGGGTAAAGCCAATGCCTGTGATGCCAGCACCCCTTATGGGTGCCAGTTTGTGTCCTGGCTGCTCCACTTCTGATCCAGCTCCTTTCTAATTGCCTAGGAAAGTGACCAAATCCTTGGGGCCTTGTCTCCCATGTGGGAGACCCAGATGAAGCTCCTGACTTTGGCCTGGCCCACCACTGACAGTTGTGATCATCTGGGGAATGAACTAGTGGATGGATGGGCTCTCTTTCTCTGTCTCTTCCTCCCTCCCTGTTTCTCTCTCTCTCTGTAACTCTTCCAAATAATAAATATTAAAAAAATAAATAAAATAATAAATATTAAAAACACAACAACAAAAAATACCCACTTATCTTTTTGTCTTTCTCATCTCAATCCACCCAGTTACTAAAGTCAGAATACTGGGAATATTTCTATCCCATTCCTTCCCTATCATTACTTCTTTTTCAAAACATTTTATTTTTACTTTATTTGAAAGGCAGAGAGAGGCAGACACAGAGACAGACAAGCAGAGAAAGATCTCCCATCTGCTGGTTCACTCCCCAGATGGCCCCAACAGCAAGGCCAAAGCCAGTAGCTGTGAATGCCTCCCATGTCTCCCACGTGGGTGACAGGAGCCCAACTACTTGCAGCACCTGCTGCCTGGCAGGGTGCAAATAGAAGCACGCCGGAGTCAGAAGCTGAGCGGGGATTCAAATTAGGCCCTCTTGGAATGGGGACATCCCCAGTGGTATCTCAGCTAGTGTACCAAATGCTTTTCCCTCTATCATTGCTTCTAATCCATCATTAAAAGCTCCAGAATACAATTAAAACAATCCTCCTCTTTCTGTGGCAGTCCTACTACAAGCCACCTCTCATTTGCTACAGTGGACTCCTTAGTCATCCTCTAGTTCCTTTCCCATTCCCTCTGCATCAGCCACGGCAATTTTATAAAAAGCTTAAATGGTAGTGGCTTTTTTTTTCCCCTTAACTGCTCTCTTCCTCCTTCCTGCCTGACCTTCAATGACCTTGGCTTTTTCAGGGCTCTGCAGCGTGGCTGCCTCCTTGCCTTGAGAGCTGTTGCATGTGCTGTTCGGTGAGTGCACTTCACCGAATCCTGGAACGGCTGTGGTCTTCTCTTGGCCTTCCTACCTCAACACATCTCCCCGCTCCCCGATTCTTCCTACGGCTACTAGTTTTGGGCACCTCTTCCCCGCCACTCATCATCACAGTGATGTGTGGTTTCCCTTGTGGAGACCAAGAAGGCAGGGAATCCCTTCAGGATTCAGGTTTCTTTCTTTCTTTCTTTCTTTCTTTCTTTTTTTTTTTTTTTTAACTCTAGAAGATTTCTTTGGGAGAGCTTATGAATAAGAAACTCTCAGAGTCCAGGTATATCAGAAAAGCCTTTTTTCTTTTACTCACACTCTTGAGAGGTAGTTTGTCATGAAATACAACTGCACGCACACGGTTGCTTTCCCTCCGCCGTGAAGATACTGCTCCTTTGTCCACTCCATCACATAGTGCTTTTTTCTTAGGAGCTATTTTCTTTATCTCTCTCTCTTTTAAAGATTTATTTATTTCGAAAGGCAGAGTTACAGAGAAAGGGGGAGAAAGAGAGATCTTTTATCTGCTGGTTCACTCCCCAAATGGCCAGGGTTGGACTAGGCTGAAGCCAGGAGCATCAGTGGGTGCCACGGCCCAGGCACTTGGGCCGTCTTCTGCTGCTTTTCCCAGGCCATCAGCAGGGAGCTGACAGGAAGTGGAGCAGTCGGGACATGAACTGATGCCCATGTGGGATGCGACAGCTTTACCTGCTAAGCCACAGTGCCGGCCCCCCTCTCTAACACTGTAAACGTGACCAGAACGTACTTTTTGGTTTTCCTAGGTTCATATGCTTCACAGTCAGGGTTTTCTTTCAGTCTGCAGATTTATGACTGTCTTCCGGTTCAGGCAAGCTCCTGGCCACAGTTTGCGTCATGCGCCTCCCTGTGCTTTCTGTGCTTTGCTGCTGGCGCTCCTGTGAGATGAGCTCCATCTCCCACGCAGCTTCTGAGCTGGCTCCTGGTCTGGGCCAGCACGGCAGCCTCGGCAGGGCAGGGGCGATGGCTTCCCCAGGGGCAGCTCCAGCCTCACAAGCCAGTGTTTGCTGAGAACTGCGACCTTGGGTTCCTTTCGGGTCTTCTTAGCTGCTAGTTCTCTTGGAGGGTGATTGACATCTTTAGGGTTCACTGTGAAACACCCCTTTAAGGTTCTGTAGCATGGCTATGCATTTAAATATACATATTTTAAATTATTTGAGGCTGTTCTGGAGTGGAAACGGGAGATGGAAACTTGCGCGAGACCATCCTATTTGAAACTCACAGCTTATTTCCTCTTTTCTGTTCCAGCATGAGTATTAGAAAAACATGTTCTAACCGTTCCAGCACATCTTCCAAGTCAAAAGACAAACACACCCTAACCTTTTCAGCTCAAAGTAAAGATGTGCATGTCGCCTCCACATCAAGCTCGCTTCTTGTTCTTTACTTCAACTTCTGCTGCGACTCATGAAAATATATTTCAGGTCAGCCCCTAGGGTTACCCATTCCCATGCTACTGGTTTCATGTTTAACTCCTGCTGGTTTCCTACAGGTGACGACCCCAAAACAGATTGTATGCCTGATCAATTGCTAGACTTTTGCAGGCAACAAGAATGGACACAAAATCTTTCTAATGAAAAAAAATCTTTCTAATAATGTAACACTGTTCTGAAATTAAGAATCAGAATGAATACATTTCAATTCATGAAACCACTCCTATTACAGTCTCCAATTTTGAACCCTGTGATTTTAACAAGGAAAAATGATTAGCTTTGAGCATAACTGTTTGATTAATGTAAAATTAAAATTCAATTTTCCAGGCTATTATGCCATAAAGTGTTATTCATTTCAAGCCAGAGTCTCCCTTTGGTGCAGTCTCTTACTTCGGCACAGGGCTGAACACGGGCAAAGAAAACCACCAGAGCTAGGTGGTCTTCCCTTGCGTTTATAACCTCACATCACAAGTGAGCACTCTGCAGTTCCCACAGGCAACGCTACACAAAGCTAAGCTTCCTCCCCCTCCAAATGAGTATTCTTGTTTCCCCTCAAGCCCTCCGTCCCGCTGCTCCTCAGTCTCGCTCTCAGCTCATGGCCTTGCCTCCTGTTTCACGGAGCAAAGGGAAGCACACCAACAGGACCAAGTTCATCTGCTGTCAGCGAGGGCTCTGAGCGCCAGGTAGCTCATACTCCGCGCCTTGCTGTCATCCTGTAGCTATGGGCGAGGGGCTCCTGTTCCCATCCAAGGCTGACAAACCTTCCACTCCTGTTTGGGCGTCCACCCTCTTGCCTTCTCAAGGATGTTATTAGTCCAACGATCCTCCCTGTCCCGTGTCATGGGCTTCTCCTGCTGTGACTCATCCCCACCTGTAGACAACAGGTCTCGTCTCTCTAGACCTCACATCCTAGCCCAGTGCCTCTTTCTACTTTCCTTTGCTCCCATCCACAACAGAAACCTTCTTTCTACAAGGCATTGAAGTCCTTACTTTCAGTTTTCCTCCTGCTCAGGTCAGGCTCCAGCCCATACTTTTGACCTCTATTGTCAAGTCCAGTGGCTCACCTCTGCTTGTGTCTTACATGACGGTACAGCAATCTTTGGGATGGTGCAACATCTTTCTCCTTGAGACGCCACCTTCTCTTGGCTCCTGTGCTGGTAACGCTCTTCTGGCCTTTCTTCTACCTTAGGGATTGCTCCTTCTCATCTCTTTGCTTGCTCCTTTGTGTCCTGGACCCTTCCCCTCCCCATCTCCCCCAAGTCTCAAGACTTCATGTGTAATCTATACCCTAATGAATCCAGAATACCTCTTTTATTTATTTATTTATTATTATTTTTTTGACAGGCAGAGTGAACAGTGAGAGAGAGAGACAGAGAGAAAGGTCTTCCTTTTGCCGTTGGTTCACCCTCCAATGGCCGCCGCGGCTGGCGCACTGCGCTGATCCGATGGCAGGAGCCAGGTACTTATCCTGATCTCCCATGGGGTGCAGGGCCCAAGTACTTGGGCCATCCTCCACTGCACTCCCAGGCCACAGCAGAGAGCTGGCCTGGAAGAGGGGCAACCGGGATAGAATCTGGCACCAGGACCAGGACTAGAACTCGGTGTGCCGGCACCGCAAGGTGGAGGATTAGCCTAGTGAGCCGTGGCGCCGGCCCTAAATCCAGAATCTCTTACCTGCAGCCCGAACTTCTTTCCAGCACTCCAGGTATGTGTATCTAACAGCTTATTTCTCTTCTGCTAAATGTTTAGGAGGCATTTCACAGGTCACGAAGAGAACCACCTCAGTTGCATCCATGCTCCCATTCCATGTCCTCCTCATACTTCTTTGACACAGTGCTGTCTCAGTCAATGGTTCCCTTTTAGCCAGAAGCTCAAGCCAAAACCAACTGGTCACCCTCCACTCCTTACTCCTGTCTCTTCAGAGCCAACCATTTGGAAGCGGTCAATGTTGACTTATCCCTGAAGCCGTCTGCCTGCCCCTCTTCTATCTGCAGTCACCCCTTCCTAAGGTACTCTCTTGAGGTCATCTCTCCTGGACTCCTGCAAAAGCATCCCACAACATCCCCTGGCCTTCTATCCACCCGGCAGCCACCATGATCCCTTAAGATAGCCCCAAAACTGTGCTCTTACAACCCAACCAGGGTTTTCTATCACACCTAGCCAGGATCTAAATGCTTCAGTCTCACTGTCAAGTTCAACGTGCTGTGGGCCCTGGCCATCTCTCTGACCTCATCTCACACTGGCCATGACCCCCTCACTCAGCATCCTCCAAGCTGCACTGCACTTGGTCCCCAACATGCCACTCTTGTCACCACAGCACGGCTTTTTCCCCCGCTGCCCCCCACCCAAAGCTGCTCTTTTCTGTGGCCTCTGTGTGGCTGGATCCTCATCACTGTTCCTCCTTAGCATCTCTTCTGTCAACAAACCAATGTATCTGAATTTTCTGGTTTATAATTTTATATAGTTACTTTCATTTTTTTTGGTGGAATTTACAATCTAGAATATAGGAAATGCCAAAAAAATATTTTAAAACAGATGAAATTTAAAATATTCCCCGGTTTCCAGTTGCCAACTATCATTATCGTTAACAAATTAGCAACGTGGAAAAACTTATACTTTTGAGTCATTACTTTATACCAGGTACAATTCTAACTGCTTCGCACATATCCTCTCATTTAATCAGTTAGCAACCTTCCACAGTAATTATTATCTTTATTTTATACATGAGGAGACTGAGACATGGGAAGATTCTGAGATTATCCAAGGTGACACAAGTTAAAAATGGCCAAGTTAGAATTCACACCAGGTAAATTAATTTAAAGACCTTTAGGCTTAACTTCTTAATGTTTTACTATTACACTAATTATTAATACCAGTAATGATAAGTAGCATTAACTGAATGTGATGTGCCAGGAACCTAGTCTTTTGACTTAGGTTCATTTAATCATCTCAAAAACAGTCTATGAGTTCATATTAAACACATTTTAAAAATGCAGAAAACAAAGGCAAATGAATTAAATTCCTGGCCCAAGATTATGTAGCAAAGGAAAGGCAGAACTGGGATTTCAACCCAGACTTGACTTTAAATTTGTGTTCTTTCTGCTATACTAATGATGGCAACACTTGCCTAGTCTTTTCCACAGCCCATAAATCATAAACTCAGGGACTGCTGTTGGTCCTAGGAGTGCTTCATATTTGTGATTTCCTCAATTCATTTATGTATTTGGCAGAGATACACACACACACACACACACACACAGGGAGGGGGGAGAAAGAGAGACAGAAATAGAGAGAGGGACAGAAAGAGAGAGAAATAAAGAAAAAAAGACATTGATTTTTATGTACTGGTTAACTCCCCAAATGCCCGTGGTGACAGGCAGGTCTTGGCACTCCATGCAGGTCTCCCAGTGGGTGGCAGGGACCCATGCTTGCTGCCTCCCAGGGTCTGCACTGAATCAGGCTGGGACTTGACCCCAGGCACTGGAATGCGGTACACAGCCGTCCTAACCAGGCCAGAGGCCTCCCCCCTCCTCAACTCCGGTTCCTTTGCCAGCGTTCACAGCCCGCCTGCCACGCGCGCTGGGCCCCAGGCGCTCCACGGGGCCAGGTCCCACCTGTGCAGGAACTTCTCGTAATTCTGGCGGAAGGCGAAGCCCGCGCGGCGCACGCGGACGTTCTCCAAGAGCCCGAGGTACTCCACCTGGTGCCGGCAGCGCTCCTCATCAAACAGCTGCGGGGACTTCTTGTCATTGGGTTTGATGCAGCGCACGTAGTAAGGTTCCTGGGGAGACACATCAGCCAGCCTGAGTTCAGTGGAGGAAGCCCGGACCACGCACCCTGATGTGGAACCGGCGTTCACTGCGGCAGATGACACCAAGGGCCTCTACTTTGTCGAGCACATACTCCTGAGTATGGGAGTTATGCTTCCTTTTCCCCTTCCATTCAAGGTTAGAAGCTCTCAAGCACTCAAGCTAAAAATTTCCCTTTGTTGTGTTTGAGGATTCACCAGGAATAGCAGGAAAGAGAGCGGGCAAGGGGCTGAAAACTTGAGACATGCGAACTCCAAGTCTGGGGCCCTGATGGAAACACTCTGGAGTAACTGGAGGAGTGAAGGCAGAGGAGAAAGGCGGCCAGGGATGTGACGTCTGAGGCTACCCAGCAGGTACGCCTTCTGTGTCAGCCAGCATTGTTCCTATTACTGTTGTCCATGTCACAGCAACTTGGCTCTAAAAATAATTGTATACTTAATTTCAGGGAATTTTAAGAAATGAATTTATTTTCATAAAAATTTTTAGTAGAGTATCTCATAAACAAAAACTTCTTATAAAAAATTCTTTGGCTCACTCCTCTAATGCCTGCAATGGCCAGGGCTGCGCCAGACTGAAGCCAAGAGCTGGGAACTCAATCCAGGTTGCCCAAATGGTTGGCAGAGACTATCTGAACCATCACCTGCTTCCTCCCCAGGAGATCTGCATTGGCAGGAAGTGGAGTCAGGGTTATCAAACCCAGGTCCTCTGATATGTGGTACCTTAATGGCTAAACACCCGCCCCTCATTTGGGTTTTTGCAAAGGGATTAAACTTTATGGGTGAGGAGAGAAGCTGCAAAAGCACCTGCAGGCATCAGTGATTCTATGAAAGAGCCCACTAGTAATCCTTCCTTGTGTGCCAATTAAGTCTTGTACGATGCGTTAGATCATAACTCCTTTTAAATATAAAACTGTGCTTGGCATGCATCCTGATACACTGAAGATAATGAATAAATAATTGGATGAATCCATCAGGTCAAATGTGCCCTTCTTATAAGCTTCAAGCGTTCCTTTTTCTTCTCTGAATCTGTAATCTATCAGATACACAGAGGCACTGTAATCAAGATACAGAGCTCTCAGTAGTTAAATTCAGCAGTTTTGAGCTCCGCTGAGGGATAGAGGCGGAAAGGAGTAGTAAATAATTTAAGAGGCGAAGCTTGAAGACTGAGTTTACTTGCATTTTGAACAGAATAGCACTTCTCAACCCCTGTGAAGGGACACGCTAGTTGTCTATTTAGCATGCAGATAGATAAGCCCCTGGTTTCTGGCACAGATCTTGGATAACCTCTGGAGTTTCCTCAGTGGCAAGAGAGTCTCGGTTATGCTATCGAGGCTGCTCACGGCTGGGCTCCTAGGTAGTTTCAGATCAGGGGCTGCATTTTTGGGTGAGGCTGGGGGCTGAAGGCTGAGTTCAGTCCTGTAGCCGATGGCTTCCCTAGTCACACTTTCATAGTGATGCCCTGATGGGAACTCAGGACACCAAGGCTTGAGGGAGGTTCCTGGGAGATGAACACATTCATGTGCACCCTAGCTCCGTGAGGACAAAAGCTGCTGCGCTTGGACCTGCTTCCAAACCTTGTCACTCTGGCTCTCTCTGCATCTGGCCGCTCTTCTGTATTTTCTACAAACTAATCCTCAGGATGGCATTCTCCTCAGTTCTGTACATCATTCTAGCAAGTTATCCAATGTTGGGGGGTGGGTCACGGGAGTCCCTACTTTGTATCTCAGTGTCTTGGGGACCCCACTTGTGAATTAAGGGCAGTCTTATTTGGGGCCTTGCCCTTCAACGTGTGGGATCGGATGCTAACTCTGGGGTCAGTGTCACGACTGAGTTGAATCGTGACAGCTAACTGGTGTCAAGGGCTAGAGGTGCAGAGTGAGGGACAGTGGCTCCGCCCGGCACATCTGTCCTTTGCACCTCACAGTGTGTGGAAGAAGGACGAGCACAAGCACAGCTGGATGCAGCCCCTCCACTAGGAGTGGGTTCTCCGCCCCGCGCCTTGACTCTGGGCTGCCCTGTGACTCGCTGTAGGCAATACAACTCTGCAGAAGTGACACCAGTTACTCCCGAAGACGCGGCTGTGAGAAGCTGTGCCCTCATGGCCCGGGATGAAAGACAAGGTGAAGAATGATGTTCTACCAGCCAGGGCATTTGAGTGACCGCCCTAGACCACCCAGCCCCAGCTTGCAGCCACTTGCTAAGCACAGGTGAGCCCAGCCAAAGAACTGTCTGGTCAACCCAGTGACTCATGAGAAATGGGAACTGTTTTTGCTGTTGTTTTAAGACCCACGCTGTAGAATACTTTATTGGGTATTGGTAGATAACTGGCTCCTCTTCCCTGGGAGTATTTTGGGACACCAACCTTTGGCTTGGACATTACATTCTTGTATAGTTAAGCTCAGTAGCATTATGGTACATAAGCAGCATCCCATGTGAAAATGTAGATCTGTTCTGGCACATTTACATGGGGAGCAGTGGTAGCTCATCTTTAAAAAGGGCTTATAATGCATTCAAAACAAACACCATCGGACGGGCAAGTGAGGGCTTTGGGCACGTTCCCTGGAATACAGGGTCTTCACTGCTTGGTGAACAAATGAAAGTCATCCTGAGGGGAGTGAAGATCGAAATGCTCCCAGGTCAGTCTGCATGCGCTGGTGCCAGGCTAACAGAGAGCGCTGCACAGAATCTTGGGCGTCTCTGCTACTGACTACTTACGGTATGAGAGTCTCCACTTGGAGCAATGACCAACGAGGCCATTTAAACCAACATCCATGCTGGTGATAACTTGAATACACAGACAGAACACACAAAGCCATTGCCTGAAGGCGCTGGAAAGCTAACAAGACAGTTGGGAAACACTGGGCCAGCACTCAGGGAGAAGGGCAGCTCTGGCCTGAGAGGGCCCTGGGGGAATCTGCCAGCTCCAGAGCTGTGGGTGGGTGCTAAGTAGTGGTTTGACAACTTCTTGGGGCCAGTGGGACAGAGAAGAGATTACAGATTAGATTCTGAAAAGGAGGTGGCCATGGCCAAACCCCTCCCACTCTGAGTGTGGGTCCTCCACAGCGATCACAGCTCCACTTCAGTCCTCGAAACTGGAATAGCTAATGTGGAGTACTGGTGCTCCTAGATGCCCCAAAGAAGCAAAAGTAAATTTTCCCTATAGAGATATGGCATAGATTTGGGCTAATTATTTCTATAAAAATTTTCTAAGTGTAATATTCAGAATAAAATAAAAAATATATACATATAACTGGAGCCCTAAAGGAGAAGAAACAGAGGGAAAAAAATATTTGAAGAGATAATAGCCAAGAGCTTCCTAAAACTGACTGGATAAAAAGAAAAGCCACAGGAGTGGGCGTCTGGCCCAATGGTCAGGTTGCTGGGCTGGGACACTTGCATCCTGCATTGACTGGAGTGCTTGGGTTCCATAACCACCTCCAGATCCCAACTCTGGCTTCCTGCCAACGCAGACCCTGGGGGCAGGGTGATGACAAGGTGTGGGGTTTCTTTCATCCACATAGGAGACCTGGATTGAATTCCCCAGGCTCTGGCTTTGGCTAGAAGGGCATCTGGTGAGTGAACCAATGAATGGTAGTGTGCTCTCTCTCTCACGCTCTAATACATAAATAAATATCTTTTAAACAATCAACCTATCAACTGAAGAAGTTTAACAAACCCCAGCCACATTAAAAAAAAATTCAACACTTTGGTGTATCAAAATAGAATTTGTGCAAGCCAAATTGCCAGAGGAGAAAAAGCAGATCACTTTAAGGAGCAATAAATGGAGTGATAGCTGACTTCTCAAAACACACTGTGGAGTCCAGAAGACAAAGGATCAGTATCTGGGAAGTGCTGAGCAACACTGCCAACCCAGAATCTCATGCCTGAAAACATATTATTCTAGAATATGAAGAAACAGTATAGGACATGCTTCTGGGTAAACAAAACTTGTCAGATCTCAAATAAGCTCAGGCAGAAGAAAATGGTACCTGTAACGTGAATGGTCAGTGACACAGGAAGAGGATGGCAGAAGTGAAAATGAGTGAATAGATCTAAATAGACACTGACCATACCTAACAACAACAAAAATAATGTCTTACTGGATATACATATTACATAATGAAACTATATACAGTTATAAATATTTGTGAAAAGTACATAATTAAAATACATGATCAAAATAGTATATAGATTGGGAGGAGGTTAAAGGACATTAAAATGCTTTATTGGCCTGCTGCTGTCCAAGGAGGAGGTAAAAATATTGAATAATATTATATTTTTATATTCAAGAATGGTATTGAAACAAGTAACCTCTGAAACAATATTAAGGTATAAATCATCTAAAATCATAAAGGGAAGAAATGAGATAATTTTAAAAATCATTCTAACACTGGGAGGGGGAAGGGTGCCTTCCTAGATCCAGATAAACGTTCTGTCTCAAGACTCGGAGACCACATTTGGCACCGATTTCCTCAGAAGGCCAGGAACAGGGCGTGCCAGCAGGCGGTCCACACAGCACTCAGCTGACAGCCAGGGGGCCTGGAGGTGAGACTCCCACTGGGCAGGTGTGGGAGGCGTCCTTGGCTTCAAAGCCTCCTGTCTCACCCAAGCCATCGAGCGCTCTTCCAACAACTCGATAGGTTCTGTGGCAGGGTCCCCACAAAGGGCATGCCTAGTGCAAGGCTCACCGAGCTCAGGCAAGCCTAACGTGCGTCATCCAGACTGTGATCTTCTCCAGTCTAGATGCAATTCCCCCACAGGGATAGTTTCTTTCTTTTCTATTTTTTTTTAACTATAAACAATCTGCTGAGCAATACACTTGTTACATCTTGGACAGAGAGCTAGAAATTTAACTGAGGTTCAGTTGCCCAGCAGAAGGAGAAGAATTCTGTTTACCTCTGCCCAGCTTTTCTTTCTAAGGGAAAAATCAAATACAAAGTACTAATAAGATGATTGGTTTAAATGCAACACAC